ACTTATTTATTATTGACTCATTCATTCATCTTTTTTTTTTTCTGTTAATAAATCAAACACTTATATTATTTAAAACAATGTTTTCTTAAATTTATAGCAAAAAAATTTTTCTTTTCTATCATCTACCATCTTTTTGGATTACTTACATTTTCTTTCTCATATTTGATAGGCAGCAAATCAGTTCTGGTCTACCAAAAATGCTAGCTGGGGATATGCAGCAGATATTGGTGATGGCTACTGACTGTCAAAATTTGTAGTTCCAGTTGATCAGCTGTGCCTATTAGATGAAAAAAAAGTTGCTCAGTTCAGATGCTGACTAATTTTGGCCTACAAAACAGTGCTGTTGATTAACGAGCGAGTTGTGTATCTACGTTAATGCATCAGTTTTATATGCTATCCTGACCTACAGATGACGACAACGGCAATAAACATTATTTCCGATTATTTCAAATCTTCTGAAGCAACAATAACAAAAATAAATTTGAACGTTTTTTGAACTTAAATGAGGCAACAGTAAAATGTCTACATAAAATGTTTACAAAAAATTCAAACAAACACTGCCATAAACAGCATTGGCACAGGTAAATCAGTTGGGTAACCGATTGAGGTTGCTTGAAAAAAAAAAACAATTCTGAGGAAGAAATTGGTATAAACAAACAGAAAAATCATCAAAATATTTTGTGAAATTAGGAAAAAAAATACAGCGTCACAGTTAAATATATGACCAGAAATAAAAATACAATGAAGAATTAACTCAGATATTACTGGATTATATGTATTACACCAACAGCAAAGACAAGCTGTCAGTTTCAAATAGAGAAAACTGGCTTAAGCTTATGAGAAATGATAGTATAGTAAAGTGGGAAATTTATATTAGCTAAAAGAATCAAAAAAGAGAAGGAACTTCAACGTGGCCAATTTGACACATTGGATTTTTTCTGATTTTTGCGTAGCAGAAAAATTGATAAAACGATTATTTACTAATGAAGATAAAGTAATATTGGTGTTAGAGAATGTAAAGGTAAAAAATGAGGTTGTTCAACGAAAGCTTAGACCTTTGTAGATTTGAATGCTGCAATTAGTTAATTTACTAAAACCTATTATTACTGTCTATTTCAAAAACCAATTACTGCTGTATTACCGATACTCGTTGGTTGCTTGAGACAAGGTTCAAAACACTCGTTTACTTCTTGCCATATAATCATACTTAATTCTTCAGTACTATCTAAAATAGATTTTTTGATTAAAGTTTTGAACTGTAAAGTATTTTCTTTTAAATTTTCTTGCTACTTTTGCGATCAGATCTCTCGAAAAAAAAAAAAAATTAATG